TACCACTAGACCAAACAAAAATTTGCGGAGCGATGCATTTCTTTACGGGTTAAACAGCGAAGGCTGCTCAGCACTTTTGAAAATGCACTTCCTAATGCGTCTCTTTCCCCACTACATTTCGAACCAAACTGACGCCCGTGTAGTTCTTGTGTTTCTCTATTTTCTGTTCTTGTTGTTCCTCTTTCCTTCCGTGTTCAGATGTATCCATTTATTTCATTATTTGACAGAATGTAATATGTCCTTTAGCCCAGATCATGAAAAAAAAAAAAAAAGATCAATAGGCCTAAATTTGCTGAAAAGTCGATTTTGTGCTATTTTTCTTATTTATAATAATTGTCATGATGTTCATTATTTCACAAATCTTTCTTCAATTCTAAAATCACATACAATAGAAAATAGCCCATCTAACTGCTTGATTCCACTAACCCAGTCACTCACGTTATGAAATAAGATATTCTTGCTCATCAGGATTGGCATAATATCTAGAGGAGTTGAGCAATGGATTTTTTATGAAAAGGGTTTCTGGAGGTAGTTCAACCCTGATCAATTCCAAACATATTTTATGATTACCCAACTCCCACACCTTTATTTCTATTCAGCATTAATAATCATAAGCAACTGTTTCTTTAGTCACTATAACTGTCAGTCATGGGTGGGTACTGGAAGGCACACGAAGAGGAAGCATAAGTTCCAATCCAAAGTTTAATAAGAGTAATATAATACTTGGAAAAGATGCCAACACACACTAAACACAACGTAGACCGAACAAGCAGTGCAGAAGAAAGGAACATCTTATTGTAACATCTTGATTATTGGAATGCTATATTGCCTAAGGGTTCTATTGTGAAGTTACAATTGACAAAATGCAGCAGTAATAATGAAATTAAAAGGCAGAGAGCACATGACACCAGTTTTAATGGCATTGCATTGGTTATTAGTTCATCAAATAATTGATTCTATCATTTATTGGTTTTTAAAACACTCCAATTTGGCACCTCCATACATTTCTCATCGTCTGTCAAGATACGTCCCAAATCGTAGTTTAGGATCCTTTAATGCTGGTCTTTTGTTTTGACATGTTATAGTAAATCATAAATAATCTGGTGGTACTTGAATGAAGTGAAAGAGGCTAGTCAAGTCAAGTCACCTTTATATGCACTATTTGTATAATATATATAATAGCTATATAAGATAGCATGAAAATAACACAAGTTTGTTTCTAGAAGAAAATTGAGTCATGGTCCACCTGAAGTAAGGCAGATCAGTAATATTGTTGAATACACTCAAAAAAAAAAATGAACTAGGAAGGTTGTGCACTTTACATAATATATTTATATATAGTTTACGTATAATAATTGTGTTTTTTGACCTGAAATGTTTTTTTTTCTATTAAGGTCTATGTAATTGTGTCTCAACTTGACAGTACAAAATCCTAATGTGTTGTCGAAACACAAACCATTTATGTTAATTAAAAAAATGTGTACATCCAGAGGGTGGCAGTATAGTGCGAGCCGAACTTAATTTTATTGTGTTCAATCTGCTTAAATCTACGAACAACTTAAGTTTGCTTAATCCGTTTGTGTTGGATTACATGATTGATTTGTGTTGCCTTAACTGAAACTGGGCAGTGCTTTTAGTTCCCAGCATGCTTTGCATATAGTTGAATTAAGAGAGAATAAATGTTAAAATTAAGTGTTATTTGATGTTTTTTTGAGAAATTTAGAAAAGGGGAAGACTTGATAGTCTGTAATAGTGTTTAATGTTAAATTACATTGGAATTATTAAACCTTTAAAATTACAGTGGGTTACCATTGTGGAGAAGAGTGGAGCATTTTGTTTGGCTGTCGACTGATTTCATTATTTTCTATTGTTTTGGATGAAGGAGCAATATGTGCTAATATGTGCTTCTGTAGCAAATAGTCCATCAATTTAATTAAGTCAATGTCACTGAATCAAATGGAATATAAATGGATGAATGAATATAGTAAAATGCCTTTGAATCATGTCAGAAAGCCTTTAAAAATTCACGTTGAGAGTACTTAAATTGGGTAATTGAAAATTACATAATTCCATTATGTTCAAGTTACATGGACAAATTATGTTTGCTTAACGTAATCAAGTTATGTGGAACCTGTTGACAAATTAAAATGAATTAAAGCCGAGATATAATTTTTTTGAGTGTATTAAATGTCCCCAACTAAGCAAGCCAAAAGCCAAGGCAATAGTGGCAAGAAACCAAAACTCCATCAGTGACAGAATGGAGAAAAAAACCCTTGGGAGTTCTCCTCTGGCCAAGAAACGAACAGTGTATGATTATGATTCAGGCAACATTACAAGTCAGATTGGATCAGAACATTCACAATATTTTTCCAGTTCCATCTGGTTGGAGGTCAAAGTCATCACGCCGGTATGGAGACGAGTTTGTGGAGGTGTCCATGAGGCCTTCACAGGGCTGACGAGGCTGGCACTTCAGGGATGCGTTGTGGACGTGTCCAGGCGCAGGTTCACTGTCTGATCTGGATACGGGCCGGATCCGGCTGACTTCATTAAACCTTAGAATAAATGGAAAGACTACATTCTTATGATGTAACACTTGCATCGGGTGTTATAGGATGTGTCCCAGGTTGGCTGACCTAATAATCATTGAACTGATTTGAATAACAGAATAATGTTCTATGTGTATGCCAGGTTGAAGTGTTTTTAGTCTAGATTTAAACTGACAGATTGTGTCTGCCTCCCGGACAATGTTAGGGAGACTGTTCCAAAGTTTAGCTGCTAAATAGGAAAATGATCTACCGCCTGCAGTTGATTTTGATAGTCTAGGTATTATTAACTGGCCAGAATTTTGAGATCGCAATAGACATCTAGCCTTGAGGTCACGAACGCATTAACTAACTGTTCCGAATTTTTCATTGAAATGATGCGTCATGTAATTTAGATATATTTTTAAAATGGAAGAATGCGGTTTTACAGATACTAGAAACATGACTTTCAAATGAAAGGTTGCTATCAAAGAGCACACCCAGGTTCCTAACCGATGACAAGGGCTTGACAGAGCAGCCATCAGTATTAGACAGTCGGACATTATTCCGGGTTATTAAGTGAGGATGTTTTTTTGGCCAATAATTAGAATCTCTGTTTTGTCAGAGTTAAGTAGTAGGAAATTACTAGTCATCCAAAATTTTATATCAGCTTTGCATTCCGTGAAATTCCTAATGAAATCTCCCAAGGGTAGTACGCACAGAGTGAACTGCAATGGTCCTAGTACTGAGCCTTGTGGTACACCATGCTGAACTTGTGATGGATCTCTTCATTTACTGCTACAAACTGATAAAGGTCAGATAAGTAACCATGCTAGTGCAATTTAAACATAAATTTCAAGTCTATTTAAAAGAATATTGTGTACTTCAGACATATCTTTTTAAAGTTGCTAATCAGGATAACAATATGGTGTGTAGTTGTGTGTAAGTCTGTTTTATGTTTTATTTTACCTTCTGATTCTCAGTTGTTTTATAGAGAAATTTAAAATATGTTTGATTTATATTTTATATTGATAATGGCTTGGATATCCCGCTGTAAAAGATCAATTAACTTCTTGTATTAATTGGAATTATTTTGGTCGTGTGTGTGTGTTTTGCGCAACCAAACATCATAAGTCGAGCAGAATTCAAAAAAAGGGTAACACTTTATTTTGATAGTCCACTTTAGACATTCAACTAACTATAAGTAACTTTGCCGATACATGTCAACTAACTATCATTAGAGTACTAGTAGACTGACTATTTTGTTGGTCCCCCAACAGACATTCAACTGACTGTAAGTAACTTAGCAACTATAAGTCAACTTGTTCTCCTAACCTGAACCCTAACACCTAACCCTAACCTAACAGTCTACTGACAGTCTACTACAGCCTACTAATACTCTAATGACACTTAGTTGACATGTAGTTGAAAAGTTAATTATAGTTAGTAGAATGTCTAAAGTGACTATCGAAATAAAGTGTAACCAAAAAAAGTAACTCAACCTGCCTGAGCTGTTTTCTTTGTTCCACAAACTGTTTTACAGAATATAGTGCCTTAAAACACCTGAACGGTTGGTTTGGGTGGATGAAGAAGAAACCTTTGGAGGAAACAAAACTCAGCAGGGAGAACCCCCCCCCCCCCTTTTTTTTTAAACATGCTGAAAGAAAAGTAACTCTATTACAACAATGTTGAAGGTGCAGCTGCATTTGGAGGCGACTCTTATATAAGACAGAGAAGACTGAGGAACATTTAAAGACTCTCATTCATCTGTATCTCCAACAACAAAACAACTGGTAAGACATTTAAATATGTTTTTGTACAATTGCAGGTTCTTTGCTCAAATTGTTCACATATGTACTTTGTCTAATAACAAACAATATATTGTTGAAAAATGTATACTTTTTAATCTATTTAACCATATGTTTATAGAGCTAAATCTGCTATTTTTTTATTTTTTTAAGCTCGATATACAATCACATTAAGGTGAATTTTCAGTAACTATAAGTGAATATCGCAAAATACAAACCGACAAAGCCTACATTAAGACCCACCACTGGCTCCACAAGAAGACCCACCACAAGACCCACCACAGGCTCAACAAGAAGTCCCACCACAAGACCCACCTCAAGACCCACCACTGGCTCCACCACAAGACCCACCACAAGACCCACCACTGGCTCCACCTCAAGACCCACCACTGGCTCCACCTCAAGACCCACCTCAAGACCCACCACTGGCTCCACCACAAGACCCACCTCAAGACCCACCACTGGCTCCACCACAAGACCCACCACTGGCTCCTCCACAAGACCCACCACAAGACCCACCACTGGCTCCACCACAAGACCCACCACAAGACCCACCACTGGCTCCACCACAAGACCCACCTCAAGACCCACCACTGGCTCCACCACAAGACCCACCACAAGACCCACCACTGGCTCCACCACAAGACCCACCTCAAGACCCACCACTGGCTCCACCACAAGACCCACCTCAAGACCCACCACTGGCTCCACCACAAGACCCACCACAAGACCCACCACTGGCTCAACAACAAGTCCCGCCACAGAGTCCACCATAGTATCAACAACAAGCACAACCACTGTCTGATTTTTGATGTTAGTGTGTGTGTTTCTACATTTTATTCTCTCAGAATGTATTTAGAAATGGAAATTCAGAATCTTTGGCAATTAAAAATATTGATGATAAAAATGTAATAATAAGATGAAACCTTTTTTTGTGAGTTATGACGTTTGTAAAATATTTTTCTTTGTGATGAGATATATATATATATATATATATATATATGTCGCTTAGTTAAATTTTTCTCCCACGCCTTTAATCTCATGAAGCCGAGCTGCCTCCAGCTTTATATATATGTATGTATATGTATATATATGTATATATATGTATATATTATGTATATGTATGTATATATATAATGCTGGAGGCAGCTCGGCTTCATGAGATTAAGGGCGTGGGAGAAAAATTTAACTAGGCGACACACAACCTTTTTCACTTAAACATGAACATCTAAATCTCTTTTAATTCTCAAAAACATCTTCTGTATATGATTGACAGAAATAAGGTCAAGCTGGTTTGTAATAAGGGATATTTCATGTATTTTCAGGTTATTTCATCTAAGGCTGTGTCTGGAAGACAGTTGTAATTCTTTTGTTTCTCTTTTCTTCAGTGCTTGTTTTCATCAGGTGTCTTCAAAAATCGAACAATCATCGCTCAGTTAATCACTTAATTATCTAATTACCTCTAACACTAACACTAGTAACACTTCAGTGTTACTTTTAACACCCTTCTGGTGGTTCCCATATGAACACCGATTTACTGCAATTTATTTCCTCTGGCCAAGAAACGAACAGTGTGTGATTATGATTCAGGCAACATTACATTACAAGTCAGAAGTCAGATTGGATCAGAACATTCACAATATTTTTCCAGTTCCATCTGGTTGGAGGTCGAAGTCATCACGCCGGTATGGAGACGAGTTTGTAGAGGTGTCCATGAGGCACCTCATAATAATCATTTAACTGATTTGAATAATAGAAATATGTATAATGTTCTATGTGTATGCCAGGTTGAAGTCTAGATTTGAATTGACAGATTGTGTCTGCTTCCCGGACAATGTTAGGGAGACTGTTTAAAAGTTTAGGTGCTAAATAGGAAAATGATCTACCGGCTGTAGTCAATTTTGATATTCTAGGTATTATATTAACTGGCCAGAATTTTGAGTGCTTGTGCTCTTGCGTGTGCTCAAACACAAGAGCGCAAGCACTCATGGTACACGGCCACTGAGACTTTCAACACACCGGAGAAAGCATCACACAACATGCTGGAAACTCATGTAAACTCCCACTACAACGTTGCAATAATTTTATCAGCTTGACTGAACTAATGCTCCATGCTCATTTCAGTGTAACAGAGTAGGAAGTAACATTACTGTACTGAACACGTCTGGAAATGTGTATTATAGACAATATGATAGTAGTGGGATGAGTGACGTTAGACAGTAGATCTAGTAGCCTACAATAAAAGTTACATCCTAAAGCACCTACTTTTTGTTATCCTGAAACAGCGCCTGGTTGTGGAAGAAGACCGTCACTGCATCAGCTTCCTCTGGATTCCAATAATAGGACTGCATGGATAAACTTTATATTTAATGACGTTCCAGCTGAGGTAAAACATTGTCCGTCTGTTCCCTTCATTTCACTGAGGATTGTTTTGTAAACAAGACTGGATTTGCAGACCGATTAAAGGGATAGTTCACTTTGAAATTAATTTTTGATATGTTTTAGCTCACCTCAAGGGCATCCAAGATGTAGGTGTCTTTGTTTCCACAGTATTTTTAATTTTGACATTTTATGGTCAAACCGTTGTTGTCTGTCAGTCATACACTGGAGGTGAAGGGGGTCCTCAATTGGTTCACCTCAAAGAGCATGCACCGAGAAGTCAAAATTAAACATGATTTAATGACTCGTAAATAAGTACACATTGATGGCCTAAGAAACGAAACGAGCGGTTTGTGTGAGAAAACGAACAGTATTTTCATAGTTTTACCTCTTGTAATCATAGCCATAACAAAATGATCTGATGGCACGTACGGGCGCTTCGGTCTGTGCATGCGCCGGAAGTGATCGCTTGCGCGCCTATGACACTCTTTGTTTATACAGAGATTTCGGAAGTTTTACCTTTCACTAAACATATTTAGATATACGGGAAACCGCAATGGAAGATGATTTCGGTATATCTAAATATGTTTAGTAAAAGGTGAAATCTCTGTGTAAATATTTAGTGACGTCACACGCAAGCGATCACTTCCGGCGTAACATTGAACTGATTCAGTTCGGTTCAGTTGGACATTGAACAACTGATTCAGATCACTTGGATTACACGAGGTAAAAACGATATAAATACTGTTCGTTTTCTCACAAAAACCGCTCGTTTCGGGTCTTAGGCAATCAATGTGTACTTACATTTACGAGTCATTAAATCATGTTTAATTTTGACTTCTCTGTGCATGCTCTTTGGTGGACCCCCTTTGCCTCCAGTGTATGACTGATAGACAACAACGGTTTGACTGAAAAATGTCAAAATTAAAAATACTGTGGAAACAAAGACACCTACATCTTGGATGCCCTTGAGGTAAGATAAAACTTACCAAAAATTAATTTCAAAGCGAACTATCCCTTTAAGAGTAAAGAATGGTGCTGTGCCGTCCATATTGGATTCGACAGGAATGGTGCAACACACGGACTCTGGGTCGAACATGTATGGGCAAATCTTTCCGGTGGCCATTTTACAACATTGGACGTTTTCAAAACAATTTCCCCCAAGTGCATCGACGGGTGAGCTGAAACTCATCACAATATGCAAAACTGTTATCCACTCACAGCAGTGGGCGTTTACTTCCAAGTCTTCAGTGCGACACGCCCACAAAAACCGAGCATTTTTCATCTAGGCTCAAAACTAGAGTAGAAAATAGCCTATTACTTATTCATTTTGATGTTTTTGAATGCAAAAACCAAGCGAACATCATAAGTTGACCTCAGACAACAATATAATAAAATTTAAAAAGCCAGTTCATGACCCCTTTAAATACGCACAGGTGAGCGGAGTTACGCTATGCATATTGCCCAGACCCATGGCATTTCTTTGCTATTGGCTCATTTTATTTTGTTTGAAGCTGATAGGCTTTCTAAGCGAAAATCCCATTCGTCGTCATCCGACAGAACACGGAGTGACAACGAAAGGGAACACAGTTTTACTCAAATTCATCAAAATAGATTTATTTCGTTTTGGAACCAAACTCTTCATATTGTTTGGCTGTTATATGTGAATAATAACAGCCAGATGAAGAAATAGAAAAGGTGATCTGATGGTGTTGGTTGTGTTTTAACAGAATCATTATTTCACAATCATTTGACCTGAATCACTGAACTCATATAGAACACAGTTTAGGTTTACTTAATTCATTGTAGCATCACTGTCCTTGTACAGTATAATAAGTTTAGGACTTCACAAGGTAATCCATCAATTTTTTTAAAAGTGTCTCAAATACAAAATAAAAATATTTTTGGCTTTGTATTGATTCGATTTAGTTTTTAGACACACAGAGATCTAGAATCAGCCTGTGAATCTCAACAATGGTGACAAAAATAACGCATGTTGCAGTACATTCTGGGTGCCACCAATCAAAACTCATTCATGGTACCCATCATGTATTGATGCATGAATAAATAATGAGCTTATGATTAGAGGTGATCTGTTTGTCACCATTGCTGAGATCCATACACTAATTCTTGATGTCTGTGTTTTATGCCTACATAAAATAATTTCTGTAACAAGTTATCTTGTTACTGTTTTGATCATTTGGTTTCATGGAAAATGTTAAAAATATGATGCTATACAAAGCCAGTGCTGCTATAATTAATAAAGTAAACCTTATTCAGAAACTGGGTTCTATATGAGTTCAGTGATTCAGGTCAAATGATTTTGAAATAATGATTATGTTAAAACACAACCAACACCATCAGATCACCTTATCTATTTGTTCATCTGGCTGTTACAACTCACATACAGCAACCAAACAACATCTGAAGTTAAGGATTTAAAGGTCAAGAGCCCGACTTAAACACACACTTATCTCCATAATGGTGACTTAAAATGACAGTTTTCTCCTTCAGTGATTCTGCTTGTTATCATCAGGTGTCTTCAATGTTGCCAATAAAAACATAATCTTCAACGTCAGTCTGTTATTCCGATATTTTTGTTTAAAAAATGTGTAAATTCTACTCATTTTAAATGGTTGACTTTTAAGTAATTAATTTGGTTAAACATTACTCGATTCTAATTTGTTAAATTAAATTAATAATATTGATTGTAATCTGTTGCCACAATTTTATTGATTATAATTAACATATTCAGTCATATTCATTTTTTACAATGTAGAGCTGAGTATCATCTGCGTAACAATGAAAACTAATGCCATGCTTCCAAATTAAATCTCCCAAGGGTAGCATGCATAGAATGAACTGCAACGGTCCTAGTACTGAGCCTTGTGGTACGCCATACTGAACTTGTGATCGACATCTCTTCATTAAGACATCTCTTCTTTTCCTACAAACTGATAACGGTCAGATAAGTATGATTTAAACCATGCTAATGCAATTCCACCAATGCCAACATAATTTTCAAGTCAATTTAAAAGAATATTGTGGTTGACGGCGTCAAATGCAGCACTAAAATCGAGTAACACTGTAGATAATACACAGTAGAGTAATACAGCCATGATGGGATGACAAGAACAAATCATTTGTAACTCTAATGAGAGCTGTCTCAGTACTTTGGTAAGGTCTAAATCCTGACTGGAAACCTTGCAGAGACCATTTTTTTTTTCTCATAAGGAACATAGTTGTGTTTCTAGTAATTTTTATTTAAAAAAAAAGTAGATTCGAGATCGGCCTGTAAATGACTAATTCTCCAGGATCAAGTTGTAGTTTTATTAATGATAGTGGAGGGGAAGCAAGGGGGGATTGGGGGTCTACTTCAGACATATATTTTTAAAGTTGCTAATGTAAGAAAAAATGATGTGGACTTCGAAGATCTCAAAAATGAAGTTAATTACAGCATAGCAGTCGCAAGGCACATGAAGCACCTTGGGTTCACCGGCGTCAGAATGAACCCCGAACATTTAAATCTTCAACCTTTTATCCTGTTACTGTCCTTTTAATGTAAATGAAGTTGCTCTTGTCGTAACAGCTGTGTTCTGTCTTTGATCTTCTTTCAAATAAGAACGGCCCAAATATTTAAAGCAATACGGCCAAATGTTTAAGGTGATAACATCTCTTTGAAGTCCCCTAATCAAGATGGTTCTTGAAGACCTGCTGTCCGTCCCACGCTATAGGTGATGAACGTGACTGTGATACTTTTAAGATTGTAAGGAATTGATTCTATGATAAAGAAGCTCTTTTAAGTAAAGGAACATTTCAATATAATCTATATTGGAGTGCAAGTTTGATCGGAGCAGACTGTAATTTCTTAAACTATTCAGGATAATAATATGGTGTTGAGTTGTGTGTAAGTCTGTTTTATGTTTTATTTTACCTTCTGATTCTCATAAAGATGTTTTATAGAGAAATTTAAAACATTTTTCATTTATATTTTATATTGAGGTCAAACTACTACCAATTTCTTTATTTTACATTGTGAACCTTTTATAGTTGTTTTCGAATATTTTTTATATTGACAGGGAAATTTATTTTCATGCTTGTAAAGCACTTTGAGTTATGTATGAAAAGTGCTGTACAAATAAATGTTTATTATTATTTTTATTTTTATAGGTACCATGCAGGAGGTATTATAAATTTCATCAATGTTTACTATGTTTTTAATATCTGTCAAAACCTTTGTTTTATTTCTAGAAAGAGCTATTCAAATGATAGTGCCTTGAGCAAAACCACCAATGCACTAAATCACAGGCTTGACATGAAATTGTCAGGTCCACCTTGATGACAAATCCACCCAAAAAAGAAAACAGTAAAGATTTATTAAAAAAATGTATCTTCTCCTCTTGATTATTCTTGTGCTCTATTATATTCAATTCAATTCACATTTATTTGTATAAACCATTTCACAAGATGTAAACAACACTGGTCCAGAAGCACTTCATGTTTCAGTTTTTTAACACTACATAAAAGCTGGGATAAAATACAACCAACAGAACATTTAAAACTGAATCAAAAAGTTAAACCAACATCTTTATGATGTTTTATTTACGTGTGAAATAAAGAAAACAGTTACAAACTGAAACAGGAAGTGCTTCTGGACCAGTGTTGTTTACATCTTGTGAAATGGTCTATAGAGCATTTCACAGTACATGTGAGCAGTGTAGTTTGGATATAGATGTAAAAAGATGTAAAATATCTATTACCTTCTTGTTTTAATTGGAATTATTTTGGTTGTGTGTGTATGTGTGTGTGTGTGTTTTGCGCAACCAAACATCATGATCTAAAGTCAAGCAGAATATAAAGGAAGTAACTCAACCTGCCTGAGTTGTTTAGTAAAAACGTTTTGACAGAATTTTGTGCCTTAAAACACCCGAACGGTTGGTTTGGGTGGATGAAGAAGAATCCTTGGGAGGAACCAAAACTCAGCAGGGAGAGCCCATTTCTGGAACATGTTGAAATAATTTAGTAAAAAAGTCAATAATGGTGGGACGAACCGAAAGCACAGGTGCAGCTGCAGGTGGAGGCGAATCTAACATATATAAGTGTGATGGATCACAGATAGAGAAGACTGAGGAACATTGAAAGACTCTCATGCATCTTTATCTCTAACAACAAAACATCTGGTAAGACTCATTTAAATGCGTTTTTTGCCCTTGTACGAATTGCTTACAGGCGTGCTTTGTCTAATAACAAACAATACTTCTTGTTGAAAAAAGTATACTTTTTAATCTATTTGACCATATATTTATAGAGCTAAAATCTGTTATTTTTTCATTTCATTTACTAGAAAAAGCATCAAAAGAAGCTTGATATACAATCACATTAAGGTGAATTTTCAGTAACTATAAGTGAATATTGCAAAATACAAACCAACTTATAGATGTACTTCAGAAAAAAAGTATTAGAGGGCTAACAAAATGTTTAAATTTATCTCTGCTTTCACTCTCCTTGTTTAATCTCCAGATATTAGAGCATAGATGAAGAGCATAAACCCAGTGAAGATGTTGGCCGTGTTGGCGCTGGTTCTGCTGTTGTCCAGTGTGATTGAGGGACGGATTTTCAGCAAATGTGAGCTGAAAGCAAAGCTGGAGGCAGCTCGGCTTAATGAGATTAGGGTTTTCGGAGAAAATTTGGACACGAAAATTCTTGTAGCTAGACGTGAGTAATAGAGTTACTTTTCTTTCAAGTTCCCTTTTTTCTTGCTCAGTCTTCAGATGCCATATTGACATGTCACATAAGGGCTTTTAAAACCTTCATTACCTTCTTCCATCTGTTTCTTTCTATCTGAGGCAGTTGTCTGCATGGCCAATGACTCAAACTTCAACACCAGCTTTATTAAAACGATAACTGAGGACATCCCACTTCAGCCATTTACCTCTACATTAAGGCCCACCACAAGACCCACCACTGGTTCCACCACAAGACCCACCACTGGCTCCTCCACAAGACCCACCACAAGACCCACCACTGGCTCCTCCACAAGACCCACCACTGGCTCCTCCACAAGACCCACCACTGGCTCCTCCACAAGACCCACCACTGGCTCCACCACAAGACCCACCACAAGACCCACCACTGGCTCCTCCACAAGACCCACCACTGGCTCCTCCACAAGACCCACCACTGGCTCCTCCACAAGACCCACCACAAGACCCACCACTGGCTCCTCCACAAGACCCACCACAAGACCCACCACTGGCTCAACCACAAGACCCACCACAAGACCCACCACTAGTTCCACCACAAGACCCACCACAAGACCCACCACTGGCTCCTCCACAAGACCCACCACAAGACCCACCACTGGCTCCTCCACAAGACCCACCACAAGACCCACCACTGGCTCCTCCACAAGACCCACCACTGGCTCAACCACAAGACCCACCACAAGACCCACCACTAGTTCCACCACAAGACCCACCACAAGACCCACCACTAGTTCCACCACAAGACCCACCACAAGACCCACCACTGGCTCCTCCACAAGACCCACCACAAGACCCACCACAAGACCCACCACTGGCTCCTCCACAAGACCCACCACAAGACCCACCACTGGCTCAACCACAAGACCCACCACAAGACCCACCACTGGCTCCTCCACAAGACCCACCACAAGACCCACCACTGGCTCCTCCACAAGACCCACCACTGGCTCAACCACAAGACCCACCACAAGACCCACCACTAGTTCCACCACAAGACCCACCACAAGACCCACCACTGGTTCCACCACAAGACCCACCACAAGACCCACCACTGGCTCCTCCACAAGACCCACCACAAGACCCACCACTGGCTCAACCACAAGACCCACCACAAGACCCACCACTGGCTCCACCACAAGACCCACCACTGGCTCCACCACAAGACCCACCACAAGACCCACCACTGGCTCCACCACAAGACCCACCACAAGACCCACCACTGGCTCCACCACAAGACCCACCACAAGACCCACCACTGGCTCCACCACAAGACCCACCACAAGACCCACCACTGGCTCCACCACTGGCTCCACCACAAGACCCACCACTGGCCCCACCACAAGACCCACCACAAGACCCACCACTGGCTCCACCACTGGCTCCACCACAAGACCCACCACTGGCCCCACCACAAGACCCACCACTGGCCCCACCACAAGACCCACCACTGGCCCCACCTCAATCCCCACCACAGGCTCAACAACAAGTCCCACCACAAGCCCCACTACTGGCTCCACCACAAGACCCACCACTGGCTCCACCACAGGCTCAACAACAAGCCCCACTACTGGCTACACCACAAGACCCACCACTGTCTCAACAACAAGCCCTACCACTGTTTCAACAACAAGCCCCACCACTGTTTCAACTACAAGCCCCACTACAGGCTCCACCACTGGCTCCACCACAGAGTCCACCACTGACTCCACCACAGAGTCCACCACTGGCTCCACCACAGAGTCCACCACTGGCTCCACCCAAGAGTCCACCACTGGCTCCACCACAGAGTCCACCACTGACTCCACCACAGAGTCTACCACTGATTCCACCACAGAGTCCACCACTGACTCCACCACAGAGTCCACCACTGACTCCACCACTGACTCCACCACAGAGTCTACCACTGACTCCACCACAGAGTCCACCACAGAGTCTACCACTGACTCCACCACAGAGTCCACCACAGAGTCCACCACCACAGAGTCCACCACAGAGTCCACCACAGAGTCCACAACCACCACAGAGTCCACCACTGATTCCACCACTGACTCCACCACTGACTCCACCACAGAGTCTACCACTGACTCCACCACAGAGTCCACCACAGAGTCCACCACCACAGAGTCCACCACTGACTCCACCACAGAGTCCACCACTGACTCCACCACAGAGTCCACCACTGACTCCACCACAGAGTCTACCACTGACTCCACCACAGAGTCCACCACAGAGTCCACCACCACAGAGTCCACCACCACAGAGTCCACCACTGACTCCACCACAGAGTCCACCACTGACTCCACCACAGAGTCCACCCCTGACTCCACCACTGACTCCACCACAGAGTCCACCACCACCACAGAGTCCACCACTGGCTCCACCACAGAGTCCACCACTGACTCCACCACAGAGTCCACCACTGACTCCACCACAGAGTCCACCACTGACTCCACCACAGAGTCCACCACTGACTCCACCACAGAGTCCACCACTGACTCCACCACTGACTCCACCACAGAGTCTACCACTGACTCCACCACAGAGTCCACCACAGAGTCCACCACCACAGAGTCCACCACTGACTCCACCACAGAGTCCAACACTGACTCCACCACAGAGTCCACCACTGACTCCACCACAGAGTCCACCACCACCACAGAGTCCACCACTGACTCCACCACAGAGTCCACCACTGACTCCACCACAGAGTCCACCACTGACTCCACCACAGAGTCCACCACCACCACAGAGTCCACCACTGGCTCCACCACAGAGTCCACCACTGACTCCACCACAGAGTCCACCACTGACTCCACCACAGAGTCCACCACTGACTCCACCACTGACTCCACCACTGACTCCACCACTGACTCCACCACAGAGTCCACCACTGACTCCACCACTGACTCCACCACAGAGTCCACAATGGTCGAGAAGAGACGCCGCCGTAACATTGCCGCTTTACCCAAACCCAATAGGGCTGTCTGGCGCCAGTATGGAGTATTTCAGCTCAGTGATAAGTGGGCCTGTGATTCCGGCCTGGTGCCATCACTCAATATTTGCAAAATGAAATGCACTGGTAAATTAGAGTGAAAAAAGCCATATCAAATGTTTTTTTTTTTTAATTACTTAATACAGATATGATTAAAAATGAACTTTTAACTTTTTTTCTACCAAAGCTTTTTTGGATGATGACATCAGAGATGACATTGCCTGCCTGAAAACCCTGCTGAACAGAACTACTTACTTGTAAGTGTGCACAAGCTCAAACAAATACATTAACAAAACACAAAAATATGCTTACATTCTTATTTTAGCCACAGAGTGTGTTTTAAAATTTTTCTGTATATTATCAAATGTGTTTACACCTTAATAAATTGTTAGAAAATTAAAGAAATTTAAAGTACATCTTCTCTAAATATAACATTCATGAGTCTGTGCCTTCTTTTGTGACAGGCCACCAAACCCCCAAGTCAGCCTGTCTGATATGAGCAAGATGTAAGTATTTTTGTAAGACTTTATGATTGTAGTAATTATGCTGCGTTTCCATGTAAACCTTAGTAGATCGAACCAATGCCACTGTCTCCTTTCAACTTAGGTCACAGTGCTTTTGAGAAATACATGCGAATTATAATAATACACAAAATACATATAAAAATATGTATATAGTAATACATTTTTGTATAAAATAATATTTCAGGGTTGTTTCGCTTATTGAGTAGCTTTGTGTATATTTTAATATTCCAATTTTCAACATGTTGAACTAATGTTTGAGCTAACAGAACTAGTATACTGTAATTACTGGTGTTTTTGTTTCATAGGACAAAAGCAGAGTAATTCATTATTATGTTATACATAATAGGCTTAAGAAATCAAATCATGCCTGAATGTGATTGTATTCTCTGTGTTACAGCTGGGATATGTTGTTGGTGAATGGGTGCCGCTCTGTTGTTCCATTATCGTATTTCCTCCAGTGTTTTTAGAGAAATATCTGCTAACTTTGATTGAATGGTAATCAGGTCAAATAAAGGTTGACAACTGTGTGAGTTTAAATATCTAAAGACTCTAAAACAATGTTGTATTCAATTGTCTATTAAAGCTCTTTATTGCTGGTAAATTTTTTATCTAAGCATTTAATGAAAATATCTCTGTTCCTTCCATTTCATTTATGGTCACTTGATTAAACTGCATTAAAAAATGTACTAAATTGTAATACTCAAAATGACCTTTCTTTCTGCACTTGTGCTGTTGATTCATCCCCATGCTGATGACACTTTATATGCTCCTCTTTTCGGCTTTTGAAAGTTCTGTACAGAAACACACACACAGTAACATATCCATTTTAAATAGAAAAATGCTGCCGTAGGGCCATTTTTATAAATCCCTTTTTAAAAGTATTTCCCTTAGGTCGATCTTTTGGATGGGAACTGAGTATTAATGAACTGATTAATGTCCTTTGCAAGTTGTATAAACTTAGCCATTATGTTGGGCTGTGTCTTAAGATCTATTATGACCCATTAGCAGTTAGTCAAGGGACGTTAGTCTTATTTTTTTGGCATCAAATTAGGCCAATGTACTTTTTTAAGTAACTAACGTTCTAAACTAAACTCATGAATGGTCTTAAAGAAAAAAAAACGAAAAAACTTGTAGACTAGGGGTCTCTAAAGCTTTGTTTCGTAATAACAGTTTTTTGAGATGTTGATTTATGCAAGCAATAAAAAAGTCATATTAAATTATAATTATGAAACATTATCATATTTCCATAAGAGTGCTGCATTTGATCACAAAATTAATGTCAGTCTTTTTAAAGACCAAAGAGAAGTTGTTGTTGTTGTCATGGTGAAACTGTAGCCTGGCTGCGCCCTCCTACGCACTTTCGCTCAATTTCATTTTACTTCAGTAACTACTTAAGTACTACAGTAACTATCTCTATGTGGAAATGAAATGAATAGAGTCTGGTTGAACCAGGCAAGTGAAACTGCAGATCCAGACTAAAACTGTGACGTGTTTGGTGTCGGATCAATTCACTAAAATATAATGTCCACTTCAGTGGACAAAAGTCTATTTCTGGGTCCCAGGAGGATTACGTTTGTGTTTATATCATATTTAACGGTTCTGGTAAATATGAAACAGAAAAATACCGGAAGTGAACGCGCGAGGACGCGTCACGCGGATCACATGATCCCTTGTCAACATCCAACATGGCTGACGCGGACAGCCAGAGATGTGTGAGCGCTTTATTGAACGGAATCGCACAGAGACTTTATTACGGCAATACAGAAATCACAGAGGAGTTTCTGAAGAATGAGCTCTACGCCGAGACGACGCAGGACGAGTTCCGCGCGCTGCATGATAAGATGAGATCGCTCCTCAAGGTATCGATACACTCACTCACTATACATACGAGTTTTACATTATAACGGGGACGTTGATTGATATTTCTGCATCAAAATACAAACGGAAACATTTCATAGAGAAGTTTAATTGTTTAAAACTAAATGCAGGTGTAGTTTGCATTATCTGTCCACCGCTAGAGAGCAGCAGATTTCTTGCAGCGCCAATGCTCGTTTGACAGGTCGAGATGTCACTTCATTGTTTAGTAGAGCATAAGAAACAAATGTAGGGGGGGAAATATATATTTTATGAGAACGTGTATCATTCCACAATGCGTTCACTCCTTAGGTAGTATTCAGAGGTAT